GCATGGATGGATGGATGGATGGATGGATGGATGGATGGATGGATGGATGATGGATAGATGGATGGATGCTGGGTGAATAGATGGATGAATAGGTACATAGATAGATGTATGGAGTAGAGATAGATAGGTAGCTCAGTAGATTTAACTAACATTGTTAATATTGAAGAACTTCCCAGAAACTAAGATATATTGTTCTACAAGATACTGATATCTGTAAAAGCAGAAAAACCTTTAGATAACTTCACAAAAACCATTTATGTGTCAGTAGACATTAGAATTCTAATTACAGAAAAAATCCTATGTAAAATGGTCTCTCAGCTATTTTTCATAATGGCATAAAACACTGAAAATACCATTATGACTTAAATATCTTCATTATCACATTTTATAATGTACATTTAAATGGAAATAGTGCAGCCGACATCATACTATACTACCTTCATGCTAAGCAATTAGTTGGGAATTTTTAATGCTTGGTAGGGATGTGAGGGAGAAAGCTAAGGAAACATCTAGTATAATTGCTAACAGAATTGTAATTGAGATCATAATAATAAAACTGAAAAACAAGACACAGTTCTTTAAAGTTTTTTTTTAATGTTTATTGGTGGTTTGCCTGCATGTAAATCTGTGTACCACATGTATGCAGTGCCCACAGATGCCAGAAGAAGAAGTCAGATCTCATAGGACTGGAGTTACAGACCATTGTTAGCCACTATATGGGTGCTGGGACCAGAACCCAGGTACTCTGGAAGAGCACCCAGTGCTCTTAACCACTGGGCCATCTCTCCAGCCCCAACACAAAAAATTTTGAAACACAGTAGGATTATAGCCATAAAACATATTCACAGAAAGAAGAAACTGCTTCTGTTAGGTAGACTGGGGGTGTCATCAACATCTTTTATGTCTTTGCCCTTTTTTATTTTCTTCAATGGAAATGTATCTATATCGATCACAACAACAAAATTCTCAAGACTGATCCCTCTGTAAAGTAGCTTGGGACTTCACAACCTAGCAAAGCCCCTTTTTCATCCACAAGTAGCTCCAATTTGAGGAAGTGAAGACATCCCGAGAGAAGGGAGCCATAGGGCTTTTCAGTTAGCTAATTTCCCAGCAAGATTGTGTACTGACTTCCTTAATGAAACCAGAGTCATGGTGTCTTTCAGAGAAATCCAGCTGCAGCTGCATCTTTTGTCCCAGAGTTACCTGCATGGTACTCTCAACTCTTAAATCAGGCAACCGTCATTCCACAGCATCAGTGGTCCAAAAAAGCAAAACTGGAGGTGGCATTAAGACCCTCCCCTCTTCGGGTTGTCTTCTCGAGGGCCATGAACATGCTCAGAACATTGAGAATCAGAGTGGCCTCCTGAAGATGTATCCAAACCAAATGACAGCCATGTCATCATTCCACTAACTAGGGACTTGCTATGGAGCCACTTCCCATGATAACAGTTTGAACATGATACACAGAAGCATGTTGGATGACTGGGGGTACTATAAGGTCACATTAACACAGCACAGCTTTCCCCACCCTGCAGACTTGCAGCTCAGCTGTGTAAGCTTCATAGCATGGGCCTTAAGGTCCTGCTCTTGTGTTCTTCTGAAGAAGTAGCAATCGTATGTTTCATCTCCGTGATAATAACGTCTGCTACTGTTTAGGGTGTGCAGAAAGGCCGAATGAAAAGAAGATAAAGAGATCCAACCTGGCCTTCAAAGGCCAGTATTGTGCGTGACCGTCTGCTTCAATGAGTTTTTATATATATATATATATATATATATATATATATATATATATATATATATATATATTTTATGTTTATGGACAATCCTGTAGGGCCTTGAATCATGTACTATGTGCAGCCTGCTGGTTTAATAAATTACTCTAGCAAACACACATTTTACTGGAGGCAGTTCTACTGGGGTGATATGAAGGAGTTCAGTGCTATCAGATATCATAGATGTATAAAATCAAAACACTGAGAGGAGTTTATCGAAAGGTAAGATTAACCAGCTTCAGCTCGCTTTTATTTCTACAACTGTGTCTCCAGTTTGAAGTCAGGCAGTTGCTTTGCAGGCTCTGTTTCTGAGTAGGCACGACTTCATCTTTCATCTGGGTGTTTATTCATCTGACTGAAAGAGCGTTAAGTCCTCTTGAAAAATTAATTTGGCTTTAATGTTTAGCTATCTAAGACTCCCTGGGTGAAGATGAAATCACGCTGGGGGGAGTTTTGATTTAACAAATGGCCATTGAGCAGGGAGTCTTTGATCCTCAAATCGGCCCTTGGAGGGCCTGAGCTTCAAGCAGATCAAAGCTGACATGGTTGGTGGTTGGCACCAAAAGGATCTGGCACTTCCCAGCTGCCTTGGGCTGCCACAGCCTGTTAGGTAGAAGTTACAGATTTTCCTCAACGCTTACTCACCTCAAGAATTGGATGAGGACAGAGATAAACAGGTGAATCATCTCCTCCTTTGGACCTGGAGTTACATGTCCTCACTGCTTCTTTGCTCCCTAATGTTGTTGTTGTTGTTGTTGTTTTGTTGTTATTGTTTTTCTTTCATTGAAAATGGATTTTTTTCATACAATATATTCTGATTATGGTTTCTCTTCCTCCTTCTCCTCCCAGTTCCTCCTTGCCTCTTCTCCCATCTGACTTCACACCCTTTCTGTCTCTCATTAGAAAAAAAAACAAGAAACAGGTATCTAAGGAATAATAATAAAATAAATAAAAAACACACAAAGTGGAATATGACAAAACAACCAAACAACAAAGAGAGGCAAAGAAAAAGCCCAAGAGCACATATAGACGCAGAAACACACGCTTGCACACACACAGGAAACGTATTAAAACCTCCGACCAGAAGTCATAATGTATATGCAAAGGGCCTGTAGAGTGGGAGGAAATGGCCTGAGTTAGCATTATGGGACAGAGAACCTCCAAAGATGCCATTGAGTTCATTTTGTGTGGGCCATCTACTGCTGGGCATGGAATCTACCCTTACAGATGGTTTGTCCCCCTAAGTGAGATTTCCTTAGGCAAAACGTCATCTTTCATTTGCAAGTGGCAATCCATTGGAGATGGTTTCTGTGTTAGGGATGGAGGCATGTGTCCACTTCTTTCAGCTCTAGGACCCCATCTGGTGCAGCCCTGTGCAGGCCCTGTGCAGGCTGCCTCAGTCTCTGTGAGCTCATATGTGTGTCGGTCCTGCTGTGTTTAGAAGGCCTTGATTCCTTGGTGTCCTCCATCCCCTCTGACTCTTACACTCTTCCTGCCTCCTCTTCTGAAGAGTTTCCTAAGCACTGAGAAGGATTTAATGGAAACATCCCTTTTAGGACTGAGTGTTCAGAGATCTCTCACTTTCCGTATATTGTTTGGCTGTGGGTCTCTGTATTTATTCCTACCTGCTGCCGGAGGAACCTCCTCTGATGATGGCTGAGCAAGACTCAGATCTATCCGTACAGCAGAAAGTTATTACAAGCCATTTTATTGCTATGTTCCTTTAGTGGAACAATAGTATCTGGTTTTTCCCTAGGTCTCTGGCCTGTTTAGTCTCAGGTTCTTGACTACCCATGCTGTGGTAGGTATGAGTTCCATCTCAGGGAGTGGGCCTTATCTCAAATCAGACATTGGTTGCTTACTCCTACAAGCTCTGTGCCACTATGGCATCAGCAAATCTTGCAGACCAGTCACCATTGTAGGTTAAGAGGTTTTTTTTTTTACCTGGGTTGGTGTTTATCTCTCTCCTTTGGTAGCAGGCAGAGTACCTTCCAGTACCATGAACACCAGCCAGTAGAGGTGAAGGCTCTAGGTAGGCACCAGCTTGGCTTCTCCATGGTCAATGAATTGTGTAGGTGTTGTCTTCAGCAATAGGGCACTACTGTCAGTTTGTGGAGAACCACCAATAGCTATAGCAATATTTGTTCCTTAATGTAACAATTCTCAATCTTGGCTCTTCAGTCTCTGTTGCCTGCTAAGTTCCTACAACTTAAAAATTAAAAGGAAAAAACAATTTTCATTCACTTTTATTAAGAAAAAAATAAGAGCTAGAGAGAGGCTTGGTGGCTAAGAGCTCATACTGTCCCTGCAGAAGACTTGAGTTCAGTCCTCAGCAGCTGAACTGGGAGGCTTAAAGTTGCCTCTTACTACAGCTCTAGTGCCACCCTCTGGAGTACACTACAATGGAGTGATCCATTGTCACCTAAGCAGCCAATATGGTGCTTGGGAGATACAGAGACATCCTAATGGGCCCAAAGATGAGTCCCTGTCAACAGAGAGGAACAGCTCATGTCCTGATACTCTATTCTGGCCTCATAGAACACCTCTACTCACATGCCCACATGTCTTAGTCACGGTTTCTATTGCTGTAAAGAGATGCCATGACCATGGCAACTCTTATAAAAGAAAACATTTAACTGGGCTGGCTAGCTTACAGTTCAGAGGTTCAGTCCACTATCATCATGGAGGCAGACATGGTGCTAGAAAGGTAGCTGAGAGCACTACATCTTGCAGGCAACAGGAAGTGAGCCGTCTCACTGGGCGTGGCTTGAGCATACCTAAGACCTCAAAGCCCACCTCTAAAGTGACATGCTTCATCCAACAAGACTACAACTACTCCAACAAGGCCACACCTCCCCTTAGTGCCACTCCCTTTGGGGAGGCCATCTTCTTTCAAACCGCCACACCACACATAGACACAACTAGACATAATTAAAACTTGAGTAAGTCTTTTAAAAGGAAAAAACCTTACACACATAGCACCCAAGATAGACTATGGTGAAAAGGATGGAGAGGAAACAGACAAGTTGCTGTGAATGGCTGAAAAGTACTTCCCAGAAGCATATGGGCTCTCTCTAAAGGTACACATTTTAAAAGCAAAGAGTTGTTGTCCAGTGCAGATACTGACCTTGATAAAGATGGTTCGGAGCATCTAGACTTGTCAGCAGCCTTGAGTGTCACCATGAGGACACACCTTGCCTAATGCTGCCCTCTCCTTCTCCCCCACAGATGGAGAGCTCTCCATTTCGAATGATGACGACTCCCTGGAGAATGGCCAGTCCCTGAGCTCCAGCCAACTCTCCCTGCCTGCCCTGTCGGAAATGGAGCCTGTACCAATGCCCAGGGACCCCTGCTCGTTTGAGGTGCTCCAAGCTTCAGATATCATGGATGGACCAGGTAATAACCTGGCAGAGGCATGGGGTGGGTCTCCAGGATGTTACAGTCTCCTAGCAGGACTTGGAATGCCCATTTTAGCCATCCAGAGCGTGAAGACCTCAAAATGTGGGAGAAACTTATGTCATAGTTATCTGTATAACTGAGCCTAAGAAAATAAGGATGCTATTTTCACATAATGGTTTACAGTTTGTAAAAACACTTCTGTGACTTATATCACTTCAAAAGTGTTATAACTTATAATATGGATGGTTTGAAATACTGTTTGCTAACACTCATCTTTGTTAAGATAAATCGAAAGAATCCTATCTAGACCTGTCAAATCCTCCTGTCCCAAAGACCTGGCCAATGGATGTATTTGTTAAATTGTATACAATTTCCCAGCTAAGCCAGAGCCTACCTGTAGATGAGTCTGGATGCCTTCTGATTATTACCTCCCTCTTCAGTCCACTGTCACCCCAGTGGCCATTCTGCCTCTCTCAGGAGGTGCAGAACCCTCCTAACCAACCCAAAGATGAGTCCCTACCAACAGAAAGGAACAGCACATGTCAGGTGGTTTGGGGAAGGAGCCTCGGGGACCACCTGGAGTGTGGGTGGAAAGACTATAGTCCTGGTGCTGCCATGTGCAGCATCTACATGCACACTTTACTTGTGTAGAGGATGGGGGGCTTGTTTTCCTCAAGTTGGTTCTCACGTTTCACTGTGGGACCTGGCCAGCTGTTTCCAGCGCCGATTAGAACAATGTCCCTTGAGGTGAGGAAAACTCAGGGTGTCGAGGGTTCTTTTCAGAGTTGTACTGCTATGCAGACAATACTTTCTCCAGGTGGGGAAGGAAGGCAGGGAAGGGGAAGAATCCTTTATAAACTGCCTCCTTGTGTCAGTCATGGAAGGCGGGAGCTGGGGCCGGTGGTGGGGCAGACATTGAGCTATATTTTGCCCTTTAGAATTTTCAAACAAGAACACTGAATTTTCAATTTTCAACCCAACTTCCCTTGTACCACTGGAATTTCACACTTAGACTCTTTTAGTGAAATCTACCACCCCAGCTGAGCCCCAGGGTTTTACCGTTATTACCCAGGTTGCCAGCACAGTAGGAAGCAGTAGTATGCCACTTCATGGCAACTCAACAGAGTAACCTACCAGGAAGCTCCTGTGGGAAAAAGAAGAGTTAGGGCCAAGTGGGGAGATAGGGGGGGCAGTTGAAACAAGACAGTAGGAGCTAAGATGTGACTTGGTTGCTAGGTGCTTGCCTAGCATGCACGATGCCCTGGGTTCAATCCCTAGTACCATGTACCTAGTTAGTTCCAAGGCAGGGTGGTACCTGCCTTGGAATCCCAGCACTCAGGAGGTAGAAACAGGAGAATTGCAAGTTCAAGGTCAACCAACCTAGAATGTATGAGACCCTGGAAAGAAGAGGGGCAGGGAAGAAAAGGGAAGGGAAAAAAAAAAAGAAGACAACCAGAAAGCAGGCAAGCAGGAAGTGAAGGAACTGGACAAATGAAAAGGTGTAGCCTTTGCGCATCGTCTGCCTTTTGAGGATTTATAGAGCCAGGCAGGGCAAGAGTGTGTCCTCAGAACTAGGTCCTCTTTGAAAGCCTGGTTCTCAGTTCTGACCATTCCAGAGCCTGGAGGAGCAGCCACCAAAGCCTGTGTGTATAGCTGCTGGTGCCAACCATGTTGGCTGCCACCTGGTACCCTAGATCAGAGAGCAAGACCCAGTGGACATCACCAATACTCGCCACCAGCTTGTGGCCTTTCTCTTCTCTCAGCTAGGGAAGAACTCAGGGACCCAAGGAGAGGTGGCGGCTCTTCTTGTTCAGTGTAGGGGACTCAAAGTCCCTGTTCTACACATTGCCCTGTTAGCCGTGCCTGTGGTCTCCTGAGTCACACGGCAGAGCATCTGTAGACTTTGGATGATGCAGGCTCAGTTTGAAGTGGGGCCCTCTTCCATGAGATAATGCCCTTGCCCCTCCCCCTTTGCCCCTTTGCCCTCTCTTCATCTCCCCTCTCTCCTCTGCCTCCCCTTTCTGCCCCTCCGCATCGCACCTGCTTGGATTTCTCTTGTCGTTGCTTTAGCTCTCCGTGTGCCCGTTATGGCCTGTAGCGGGTAGCACTCTGCTGTCTTGTTGGGCTACCAGCATCCCTGTCCTGTGTCCCCGACCGGCGTGCACTGCGTTTGTGTAATGTCTCCTGTGTATCATGTGGTTGTCCCCTCAGTGTCTCAAGAGAGTCCCTCTGCCAGTGAGTCTGGAGTCCTCCTGTCCCAAGATCCTTCAGCCAAACCAGTTCTGTTCCTGCCCCCCAAAAAACCTGCTGCTTTCTCTGGAGACCATGAGGAGACCCCAGTGAAGCAGTTGTCCCTTCTCAAGCAGCCCCCGGCCCTGCCTCCCAAACCCACTGCCCGGATTGCCAACCACTTAACAGGTAAGTCCAACATCTTCTGAGGCGCACAGCCCCTCCCTCCCTTCACGGGATAGTGTCTTTCTCTCTCGTTTATTTTTGATCTGAAGCCTGAATAGGTGACTCTGGGAAGATGACCCCAGGGGGTGTTTGGGTGTTTGTATGTGTGTGTTGGTACGTGAGGTCAGGACCAGAGTTTCCATCTCTCTGTAAGAAGCTTTGGATAGGCAATTGCCAACCATATGTCAGGAGCCTCCAGTGTTATCTGTCATATGTGTATCTGTAAATATGTACGTCGCATTTATGTGACCGGTTCAAGATTATTGCCCATCTGGGCAAATTAGAATCAATGTCAAAATGTTTACACAGGCAAAGAAAAGTGCTTTGCTTCCTTCATAATGAGTCAGTTAAGGCTTTAAATATTTGTAAGTTATTGATCTAAAGTCTAGAATATTTCTGCAATTAAAACAAATTTCATTCACTTGCTGTCAGCTCTCTTAAAAAAGAAAGAAGCTAGGCGTGGTGGTGCATGCCTATAATCCCATCACTTGGGAGGTGAAGGCAGGAGAATCAGGAGTTCAAGATCATCTTGGTTACTCAGCGAGTTAGAGGACAGCCTGAGTTATATGAGACCCTATCTCAAAAAGCAAGAGCAATAAAATAACCAACACGGTGTGTGGGAAATCCCTTGGGAAGTGCAGGCTTAGCAGAGTTGCTGTAAAATGCTTCTTGTGCCTTCATTCTGTGTGGTTAGTGGATGTACGTGCAGATATAGAGTTGATGATGAGTAATGAAATTGCATTTCGCCGTGTATGATATAATCAGACACCTTTAAACTGCTTTTATACAACATATTTAGTGTTTTTGCAAATAGTGTCTAAGTGACCTCTATTCTATAACATTTTACAACATGTAATGGGGGAGGAAGTAGGAAAACATACTCACTCATAGCAGACAGACTGGGGGTCAAGAAAAGGAAGTGACTTTTTCAGGGCTGACAGGACTCTGCAGTGGAGGCATGACTGGAACCCGAGCATTCCACCTGCTAGCACATCCGTGACCATTCCCACAGTAGCAGGACCCCTCTCTATACAGTCCAGCTTCAACACAGACTGATGCCAAACTGTGTTATGCCAATGCTCCTGTCCATCTCAGCTGGGCGTTTGTGGTATCAAAGGGCCATTGTCTCTCTAAGAACCATTCAACACATCAATAACACATCAGTTTAGTATGCCAACATTTTAATTCCCATAAAGTCAAAGGAAAACAGGCCTCCCTCTAGGACATATACCCACTGTCCAGAAGAAAATCAAATATCACTCTACATATTGCCTCCCACCTGCTTTTTTGCACATCACAATGTGTGAGCTGAATCTCGTGTTAGTAACTATTGTGCAGTGTGGTTTATCAGCAGCTTGATGCAGATCAAAGGACTCTTCTATATTCTCTACCACTAAAAATGCAATGGAGAGCATCTGTAGTAGCCTGCATATGTCCTTTTAAGGATTTTCTGGGTAGGATTAAAACGATAAAGTCAAAGTTATATACCCCTTATACCTTGAACAACAAACACCTCTTCAAAAGAATTCAATACTGTGCAAAATAAACCCCTACATGTCCATATTGTACTTGTTTGCTCAACATGCCTGCCATATGCAGAACACTGTGTTACTACCAAAGTGGACACAACTCTGTGCTAACGTAGTGACTATATATTCCATCAGCCCTCTGGATCCATGGGTTCTAGATCTGTGGGTCAGCCAACCACAGATCAAAAATAGTTATTAAAAATTCTGTACTGAATACATCCAGATTGTTTTTTTTGTCATTTCCTTAAATAGCATGTTAGTTATTTACTGAGTCTCTGCATTGAATTAGGCAGTATATATCATTTAGAGATAATTTAAAGTAGAGGGAGGTGTGTGTAGGGTCTATGCAAATACTGTGCTGTTTTGTAGAAGGGACTTGAGCAAGCATGGATTTGGGTGTCCATGGGAGTCCTAAGTCAGGCCTCTACAGAAACCAAGAGGTGGCTCTACTAGAGTGCTCGAGTGAACGCCATTCGGAGTAGAACCGTGGTTCGGTGCAGTCTCACAAAGGGCCCTGAAGAAGACTGAAGCCCTGTTGACCTTTATGGAGTGAAGGACATTTGTAGAGAACTGGGGAAGGGATTCTCTGGAAGAAGACTCTGGAAAAGGCTCAGAGCTAGAGATGTTTTAGATCACTTCAGTGCTCAGCTGGGATAAAGACTCCATTGAGGTTTAATTAAAACCACCTGGAGACAGGGTTCACCGGATAGTGGCCTGCAGAGATTTGTGTTTTATTCCCTAGAAGTAGCAAGGTTTGAAGGGTTTGGATGCTATGATGGAATGGATCTTTAAATCATCTTCCTGGAGGACAGGCATGGTGGGTGGCACATGCTTTTAGTCTCAGCACTTAGGAGGCAGAGGCAGGAAGATCTCTCTGAACTAAGGCTAGCTTAGTGTACATAGGAAGCTTCAGGCCAGCCAGGACTACATAGTGAGTGAGGCTCAGTCCTAAAACAAAAAACAAACAAAATCCCTTCTTGGGTCACTGCGTAGAATGAACATAAATAGGACACAGTGGAGGATGTATGTCAGAAGACAACAAAGCCAACTGTGGGCTCTGCACCTCAGAATTACTAATAGCATTGAATGGAGTTATCTGAGCCAGGAAACTTCTCTTACCATTGCAATACAAGCTGACAAGAAAAAATCCACTAGCAGTGGAAGAGAGACGGGAAAGAATAACTATGGAAATGTTAATTCACAACATCCTCTAATTTATTTAGTTATCTAGTAGATGAAATAGCGTGGCAGCCTCATTGTGAGCTCAGAAGCTTGAGTGGTCCAGCTGTGCATAGGAGCCTGTACATGAGCCTGTACATCTCTGAGTCTATCTATATGATCTATGAGCATCAGCACCATATAACTTGGAGCAAATGCAAATACATTATACAAATACATTATAACCTTGTCTTGTGTGTGGTTGTCTCTTAAATATGGTAAAGCTAAGGTCAGGAGAGGTGTTGATGTCTAGGGACTATCAAGCTAGTGCTGCTATCCTTTTGGGTCTAAACTCCATTAGACTTGCTTAATTTTCATAAATGAGCAATCAGTCATAATGATCTGCATCACCATGAAGAGCTCTGTTAACCTCAAACTGTTACTAATTGCTCTAGAGACATCTGGGCCATGTCAGAAGGAATTAATCAACGAAGAATTCCAAACTCTAAATTAGGACTTGTGAGTGGCTAGTATGTTCTCACTGTTGTCCTGTCCATGTGTTTGAAAGAAAATGCTGGACAACTGAAAGGCACCAAGCGTGACTGAAAGAAGTGGGTCGTGGTCTAACAAAACGTGGAGGAAATGTAAGCTTGAACAGGAGCGGTGTCCAGCCTCACACTCAGAGCAGCATGCAGAACCCTTTCTCCTTTAGGATTCATTCCACTTTGTCAGGAGAACCACAGTGGACTTGGGGAATGTGGATATTCTAACTCCCGATTCTTCAGTAAAGTGGGAAAAAGCCCTCATTGTTTCTGTGTCCTTGTCCTCCTCTCCCACCTCCTCCTCTCCATCATCAGCCGGCCGAGCAGCATACACGACAGGCTTGAGAGTTGTTGGGCATTAGAGTCTTGCCTTCCTGGAATCACAGTGTCCAGTGGATGTGATCCAAGGTGAATGAGTCTCAAAATGGGTTCTCAGCCAGGCGGTGGTGGCACACGCCTTTAATCCCAGCACTCGGGGGGCAGAGGCAGGCGGATGTCTGTGAGTTTGAGGCCGGCCTGGTCTACAGAGTGAGTTCCAGAACAGGCTTTAAAGCTATGTGAGAGAAACCCTGTCTCAAAAAAAATGGGCTCTTACTGGAATGATGGATGACCCCAGAGGGAAAGTATGATCAGGGTAAAACCCTGTCTCCTGCTTTTCCAAGTCTCCACCAATTACTTCCCTAAGCATCCTTTATCCAGGAGCTATATGTTAAACATTATATGACTAACCAGTACCTTCTGTATGAGGAACCTGTGAGGAGCAGGCACCCTACATGTGGTAGATAAATGAAGCATAATTCATGGTGGCATGGTTTCATGGCCTGACTATCACATCTGAGAAGCAACTGGGCAGCTAGGATTGTTTGAGAACCTTACTAGGTACCATTTTGTCCCTGCAGTACATACCATTCTCATTCCTACCTGCTTCTCACAGAAGATGACCAAAAAGTATGAAGATGTTGATTGTGGTTAGATGGCTGGTAAATTATCAGCTTTCTTGGTTTCTAATTTTTGTGTGTTTACATCCAATTAACAAATTAGAAAATCTGCTTCTTTATCTTCAAAATTTATGTTAGCCTGCTCAGACTGCCATACCATTAATATAGACTAGCTGGTCTTACGCAACAAAAATTAATTTTTTCAGGTCTGGAGAGATGGCTCAGTGGGTAATTACACTTGTTGCTCATGCAGAGGACCCCCATTCAGTTCTCAGCACCCACACAGTGGCTCACAACCATCTGCAAGTACAATCTCAGGGCATCCGCCGCCCTCTTCTGACCTCTGAAGGCACCAGACATGAACACCGCACACATGTGTGAATGCAGGCAAAACACTCATGCACATCAAATAAATTTTAAGAAATCTTTAAAAAAGGAATTTTTTTCATCATCTTGAAGGCTGAAATTCAAGGTCAAATAACAGTAATAAAAAAAGTAATACAAATATAAACATGGAGTAATCACTATTATACTTCCGTAACCCTCCATAACAGTGTTACGTACTGTAAGTAACCAGCAGATCATTTGAAGTATATAGGAGGTGTGTGTAGCCTGTGTGCACGTACTAGCCATTTAATGTAAGACCCTGAACATCTGCTGGTGTGGGTTTGGCAAGGACTCCTAGTGTTGACCAAGAAGTGACTGTACTCTCAGCAAACCTAAGTGACTGCAAATTTTAATATATCACAGTGCCTGCAACTACAGTTTTGCCTAACAAACAACATCTGTGCCCCGTA